AAAAAAAAAAAAAAAAAAAAAAAAAAAAAAAAAAAAAAAAAAACCATGAACATGACCTTAGAAATTTTTATTGAAAGATTTGAACATTGCCTACGCTTCTTCTAAGCTTCATATTCATTTGGGGTTCGTCTTACAAAAAAATGGAACCCCATAAGTTAAAAGCTAGGAAACTACCATCTAGAGTTTCTGAAAGTTATTTTTCCAACAACCCTAAGCTGACCCACACTGTCTTATTCTAGGAGCATTGTAAGATGTAAATCAGATACACAGCAGTCTCCTAAGTGGCTGGCTCAATAGCACATTGCCCACAAGCATACCGCCCCGTAACCAACTTTGCTTGGGGCTACCATCTATTCTTAGAAACCAAGGCTAGGTGAAAGTACAAATCTACCCTCTAAGATGACGACTCTATTTCCCCTACAACTTCCTTCTCCGTACCATCACCATATCTATAAGCAAAGCTCGATGGCGGTCTATCAACCGAAAGAGTACCTTCCAACACCTTCATTACTTCACCAACCGAAGGTCTCAAAAATGGCTGATTTTGCATACACCACAAAGCTATCCTTACCACTCTTTCAACCCCACTCAAATCCTCATTATCTAAATACTTCTGTTCTACAATCACTTTCTCCATCACTTGATCCAAACTATAATCTCCCACTGCATCCCTACCACACAACACAATCTCAATCAACAGTTTCCCAAGCATGTAAATATCTTCCTCTGATGGAGACTGGTTTGACGAAGACGATGAAGATGAACACAAAAAACTCTTGATCCCAAAATCGGTCAATTTTGGCACCATTCTTTCATCAAACAACACGTTTTCAAGCTTCAAATTTCCATGAGGAATGCATAGTTGACATTCAGTGTGTAGATACGCAAGAGCACGTGTAACCCCAACAGCAATATCAACTCTTTTTTGCCAATTTCTTTCTCTTTGATCCTCAAATACCCATTTGTCAGCAGACCCATTTGAGATATATTCATAAATTAGCACCACCTTCTGTTTCGGCTCAAAGCAAAACCCTTTTACAGACACTAAATTCCGGTGGTGGGTGCCGCCCAAGACCGCTGTCGCCTTCACAAACTCCTTCTCCGACACCACCGTTCCCTCCACCACCTTCACCACCACTGCCATTTTTTCCGGTAGTACCCCTTTGAACACTGAAGACCCAAGAGGAGTTGAAAATCCCGAAGTGAGTTCTTCCACTTCCTTGAAAGATAATCGAACAAGTGCAATATTATTAAGGTTTGTTTTCGCCCCTATAACTATCTTCTCAGAGTTTTTTCGCCTTTTATGATAAACAAACAAAAGGGTAAACATCTGAATCCCTAAAATAACCAAAACTGTCACTAAAATTACAAATGCAATTGCCCCTATTACCTTTCTATAATTACCTTGAAAAGGGAAAGATATTGATTTAGGGGCGGCATTAGGGTTGCCACCCTTGGTGGCAACCGCCTGTGGGACTAAACAAACCTTCAAGAATGAAGTTGAAGGGATCGAAGGGCCTGTAGATCCACTAATAAACCCGGTTCTTTTCAAAGTGCATAAACCCGACCCATCATTCTTTGAAGTTAGTGCTAAACACGTGGTGTCATTTGAACAATATTCTTTACAAGATTCTTCACTCAACATCATATCGATGTCATGAGGAGGGTATAATCCATAAAGAACGGTTTGTTTCATTACCAACATGCTTGTATGATGTTTACAGTTTGCTAAATCAACCATTTTCTTGCACCCAGAACCGGAACCTGAATCAGATGAAGGAATAGAATTCCCCTCGTCTATGGAATCGGAATACAAACAACCACAAATGGGGCCGGTGGAATTATACCCACAAATGCTGTATAACCCACAAGAACCAAACACGTTGCATTGATCTTCTACAGCTTGCCAACCAACTTTCCAAGAACGAAGAACATTATTCCATGAATATATTCTCAAGTTCCCATCTTGATCGATTCTGAGATGCCTTAAACTCACAGAAGTGTCACCAAAATCGGTACTTGATATTGACCAAATAACTTTATTACTATTATCGTATAGACCCAAAACGCCATTTGAATCGAATCGAACTTCTTTGATTGTTGCACGTGAAGTGCTCAAATTGGGTTTCCAATAAGTGATGTTGCTTTCCCACATTAAAGCGATCCCTTCTGGATGGATTACAAATGTGTAGTAACTGGTAATCGATTTTGTGGAAGGGGGTCTGAGATTTTGTGGGTACCGGAGAAATTGGCCGGGGAGCAAGGTGTTGGTCGGCCGGTGAAAGCTTTCCCAGATGACTGTACTTTGACTGTCGATTAGAACTAGATTGCCGTTGTTCAAAAGGGTGACGGATTCAACTCCTGAATTTGAAGTATTACTACTCCAAACTATGGAATTACTAGGGTTTTCGAACAAGATCAGTCTCCCATCCATGGAAAGTTTCAATGTAGAATTGATTGGAACCCTAACACCGCCACCAACAGTCCAAACAGGCAAATTTGCTGATTTGGGACCTAAATTGTACCTAATCTCGACTACGAATTCGCCACCATCTTTCTCGAAAAACCCAAATTCGAAAATCCCATTTTCAGACACCAAGTTGTTACCTTTACGATTACCATCGACATAACTATCAGAATCATAAGCAGACCCTGAAATTTCAAAACCTAAAGGAGCTGAATCCATGGGATGTTTATCGCATAGCACGCAATTAGCGAAACCCAATAGGACTACAAGAGCGAAAGCAGAGCAAGAACAAGAAAATGTGTTGAAAGAGACGATTCTAAAGCTCTTACCTTTGATATTCTTGATGGGTATCTGAAAATCCATGAGAATAAGCAAAGATTCCAACATTTTTAGCTTAAAGAAAGCAGAAAAAAATATTGTGCTTTTGTGGGTATATGAGTGATGGGAATGGGAAGCAAGAGAAGATGAGGTTTGTTGGTTTGAAGAGATTATTTGTATTTGTTGGTGTGGTGTGGATGCAAAGTGATGTAAGTGGGGCAAGAGACGCATGTTGAGTGATCGAAGACGAGAGTGTTGTATTGGTCCATTATTTACTTATTTTAAATTTTAGATGGCGACCTATTTTGAATCTTGAAAAGATAGACGTAAAAGAAAACAAAACTTCATGTGCTTTTTGTGAAGATCGAGGTTACTATGATAAACTTGATTCCTTCTTGTCTTTTTTCCCACTAATCATGGTATCTTGTTCACTTTCCTCCTTAAATCACTCATGCAACTTTTTATATGTGTGTAAATCGTTTTTTTGTTGTCAGTAAAAATAATGTTTTTAAACAAGATTGAAATTTGTAAAAATAATAATTAATTAAGTGAATCGTGAACATTTGAATTCAAAATATGGTTAGAGTCCAAGTGAAGAAAGAAGTAAATAAATGCTATATTACCTAACTGAATGAAATGTAATAAACCTAACAAAATAAAGAGTTTTTTATAATATGAAAATGAAGATGAAATTATGATAGATGTGTACAACATTGTATTAAAGACAGACTTCCCTATTTGTTCAATAGTATCCACATGTTTGTCTTCACAATTCAAGTTATTGCATGCATCGTCTTAAAGACAGACTTCTGTATTTGTGCAATAGTATCCACATGTTTGTCTTCACAGTTCAAGTTATTGCATGTGAATTTGAATACTGGCGAACTACTTTATGGTTTTATGGTAATGATGAAAAACGAGAGAGATAATATGTTATATGTATGGAAAAAACGCCCTCAAAACATATATTTCATTCTTTCAAATAGCTTTTCTAGGAAAGAAGATTTAACATGCATCCGAAAATATCTCGTAGACTTAAAAATTTTATTGTGAATATATATATATATATATATATA